TGCACAGTTCTGCTGGGAATGAAGGGTTTTCCCCAACATCCAGCTTGAACCTCCAATGACACAGCCTCAGGAGCTTTTGCCCTCCATGGAGCACAAAGTTCAGACACATCAAGCCCTGCAAGCTGGGACAGAAGTGTCTTGGAGTGGGACCACCGCTCCCCATGCCATCACCACCCAGCCGTCAGCCTTGGCGGCATCTGCTTGACCAAAGCCCAACGGGAACGTGAGGCTGGGGACTGGGAGGAGATCAGCACCCTGAAGTTTGAAGGGGATGGAGACTGTCCACGTGGGCAACAGGGCCACCTTTCTCTTCGATGTGGTGTCTTTTCCCAAGGGAGAAATGAAGGAAGGACGGGATTTCCCCATCGTTGCTCAGTCCCTTTGGAACAGGCAAGAGGCTCTTGGCCACAAGCGAGGTGCCGTACGGAGTCGCCATCCGCTCTCCTGGGATGCTCCGAGACACACAGCTGACACATGGGCACACACAGACCGGACCACATGGGTGACACAGCCAGCTTTTTATTCCCAAGGGACACTGCATCCAAAGCCCCGTGTACTGTCAGGGGAACTCAGCCTGTCCCCTCTCTTGGATCTATTTGCTGTCCAGGTCCCCCAGGAGCGAGGAGCTGCACAGGAGCAGAGGGACAGGGCTTCCTCCACGTTTACCTTCATCATCTGCAGAGCTGTATCCCTTACAAATAAAAAGCTGAGGGTCCGGACACACAGAACACGCACAGAGACAGAGACATGCTGAGGCAGCAAGAGCAGAGCACGAGACACGAGAGCCGAAAGCCTGGCACAGACTCACCTGGGCTCCGCAGGATAGTCCAGCGCGTCGGGACTTAGATGCGGGAAGAAAGGGGAGCATGCGATAAGCGCAGGGCAGCGGAGGAGACCCTTCCCTCCCACCTCGCCCAGCTCAGCAGCAACAGCTCTTCACCCTGCACAACGCCCAAGCTGAGAAAACTGCCTGGCGTGAGCAGGAAACCTCAGCCACTGCCCTTAGGACTGAGTTTCCATAAGCCAGCGAGACAAGTTTGAGCAAGGGTGAGCATAAGAACGCCAACGAGGGGTTCAAGGCCAGGCTGGGTGAGGCTTTGAGCAACCTGGGCTAGTGGGAGGTGTCCCTGCCCATGGCAGGGGGTGGCACTGGATGGGCTTTAAGGTCCCTTCCAACCCAAACCATCCTGTGATGCTATGAATACAGCCGTGTCCCAGTGGTGCAGGGACTCTGCAATGCTCTCCCGGGTCAGACCTGGTCTCCAGGTCTCCTGGATCAGGACTATCCTGTTGGGATGTGCATCCAGCAAAGGACCTCCCTAGATGGGACAGAGAACAGCACTGCTGGGGGAAAGGAGTTTTTGGGTACACGGCCCTTCAGGAGCAGCCTTTCCTGGGCAGCCCTGCAGGCAGGGCTGGGGCTGGTTCTTTGGGATGCTGCAGAAGGGGCTCCCATCTCGGCAGATAGCTGAAGGGACACATCAGGCGTCTGAGTCAGGCTCGGGGCACTTGGGCAGCAGGGTGGTCATGGAGAAGGGGGAAATCCAGGGCTCCAGCTGTCCCACTGGCGCTGCCTGCACACGTTAGGGGCATTACAATCAGCTCTGACTAGATGTATATATAAAAATGTATGTTCAAAAAAAAAAAGTATGGGCATGTCCTGGCCAGCAGAGCCCAGAGAAGCAATGGGAGTGTTAGCCCTACCCAAGGCACACATCAGTGTCTGCCCAGAGGCAGAAGAAACTACTTTTTATGGGCAGCCCGATGGGTCCTTCAGCCCTGGCAGGGGTAGGGAGTGCTGCTGCCAAATCCCAGCAGCGGGATCTGGGGAGAAGCGCTAAGCTCCCTTGCAGGATGGGGCACGCACGGCCAAAATAGGCTGAGCTCAGGTGGGGAGGAGGCTGGGAGCAGTGACCTTCCCTTTGCAGAGCTCCGGGAGAGGCAGGACACAACGGCGGCAGCTTTCTGCTCATCTGTGGGATGTGGCTCATGTCTGCGCAGAGGGACAGCGGGACAGTCACACGGCAGAGCTGTGCAGGGAACAGCCTCTTATTGCTGTAGGGCACTGCTGAGCTTAGGATGCTTGGCTCCTAGAAAGCCCTTCCCAAAACACCACAGCAAACTGTTGTGAACGTGCAGCCGATGGGCTCTGGGGCTCCCCAGGTGCTGACATGCGTGTGTGCATGCAGCTCAGCCTCCTGAGCCTCTGGCTGACCTCAGCTTGAAGAAAAATGAGGTGGAATAGGGATGGGACAGACAGGTATCACTCAAACTCTCCCCTACCCAGTGGGGAATACAGCTGCATGAACCAGGGCTTCTCCCCCACTCCTGCCACTCGCCCAGACAGACAGACAGCAAACTGACAGCCGTCCAGCCTGCTCTAGGGAAGCAGCCCTTCCTCTGCCCCCCTGCCCACGCTGCACCTCATGAGGGGGTGCCCAGGCCATGCACCCCTGCCCGGGGAACATTCCAGCACCCAGCCTGGCCTCCTCGCTATGGCAGCAATGCTGGAAAAACCAGGACAGGCTCAGCACCCCTTACTTCCATCGCCAGCACCTTGCTGCTGATGGAAGAGGTTAAGTCACAGGAATTTTTTTCTTCTATGTTCATCCTCTTAAGTTAAGCCTAAGTCACAGCACGCTGCTGGGACATCATCTGACCGCAGCAGACCTGGCAGCGTAGCTCCTGCCGCGTCTTGGCTGTGTTTGTGCCCCTGTACAGCCATCAGCGCTGCGGTCAGTACTGCTGTCCTCCTCCCCCTGTGATGGGAACCCCTGGGAGACCCCCAGACCCTGGGGGACCATGGCAGACCCCCGGGAGAGTGCTTGGATTCTTCCTCCCACACCCACCCTGCACTCCCGGTGGCAATGGGAGAGGTGGTGGGGGTTGGATGCTGCAGGAGAACCGTACTTACGCGGGGATCTCATTGGTCAGGTGGCTTGAAAACAAAGAAACAAGGACATTGAGAAGAGACAGACAGAGACCAACAAACACCAGCTCGACACAGACACCCTCCCCAGGCAGAGCGCTGGGGCAGCAGGTTTTTTAGGTAGATGGATGGAGATTAAACCAACACCCTGTCCCAGTGCCCACAGCTGGGAATTAGGCACAGGGCTGTGCTGGGGAAGGGTGCTGAGCCAGGCTGCAGTGGACCGAGCTTCTCCTAGAGGAGAAAAGCCCAGCCCAGGGGCTGGAGAGGACCTGGGTCAGCAGCTGGGTTCCAGGCTCTGCTTATCTTAAGAGAGAAGCCCCAGGGACAAGTACAGCCACAGCAACCACAGGGTCCAAACATGTGCCCCTAACCCTTGGGGTACTGGAGGAGGTCCCACAGCAGTGATGGCCCATCCCAGCGGGCAGAACCAACCCTTGCTGCACAGCCCCAGAGAGAAAGGAGCTGGCAGACAGGCAGGAATTGAACCACAGGCTGAGCTACAGCTCACCCAGCCCATGACCCACTCCTGGGCAAAGAATGGCACCAACAAGGAGCAGGACACAGGCCACATTAACCCTCTTCATGGGGTGAACTCAGCTTCACCCCACTCCCAAACCAGACTATGCTAACCCAGGAGGTGGCCCAGCTGCTGCAGAATGAGAACATCCAGACCTGAAGCTGGCCCGACACTGCTCCTCTGCCAACAAGGCAGTTTTAGAGGTAAGGGCTGGAATCAAGCGCTCACACCCCCAGTTGGGCTTGCCCCTCTTTGAGCATTGCACTTGGGCTTCTTCAGCCCCAGGTCTTCCTCCTGCTAACAGCCCTGACTCCTTGGGTTGACCTTGGTTCAACTCAGCAGCCAAGTTACCTCTTTGTCACGGCGTTGTGGTACTCCATGTACGTCCTACCATCAAAAGCAATGGCCTCAGCATCTCCAGCAGCCTTCTCGATGATCACTGGGGGTAGGAAAAAGAAGAGCTGCCAGGCAACGTACCACGACCTGTCCATCCTTGGAGACGAGGAAACCCCCCCTTCACACTGAGCATTCATACCAGGATGAAGGCATGCACAAACCTGCCGTACCTTGGGGCACAGCAGCGCTGGGGCACGCTAAACAAGCTCCTGCAAAGGTTTGCTGTGGCTTCAGAGCCCCTGAGTTTGGACCATCTCCCTGTTTTGCAGCCAACCATCAGGAAATCTGCAGCCAACCATCAGGAAATCTGCAGCCTTGCTGGTTTCCTGGCTGAAACTGGGGAGGAACCTGGGCTTGGTGATGGCCCAGGTGCTCATCTCAGGAGGCAGCGGGAAAGAATCTTGATCTGGAGACAGCTAGGCATTGCCCAGACCCTCCGGGTGGCTCAGGTTGCCCAGAGAAGCTGGGGATGCCCCATCCCTGGAGGGGTTCAAGGCCAGGCTGGATGAGGCTTTGGGCAACCTGGGCTGGTGGGAGGTGTCCCTGCCCATGGCAGGGGCTGGCACTGGATGGGCTTTAAGGTCCCTTCCAACCCAAACCATTTGTGATTCTCTGATTCCATGACTCTGCAACAGCACCAAACCACATTTCCCTGCTCCAGGCTGTTTCAAGGGAGCACAGCAACGTAAGACAGGGTCAGGGTGCAGTGACAGGAGGACGGGACAGGGCTGGGTGCTCTACCCATGGGCAGCAGTATGGTGGGCACGTGCAGTGCCATGCCGGTGTTTCTGAGCAATGGCATCGCCCCGACTTCCCAGCTGCACAGCAGAGCCAGCCTGCAAATCGCACAGCTGGTTTCCCCTGGATCCCTCCCAGCAGCCAGGACAAGGACAAGACTGCCACCGAAGCGGTGCACTGTCCCGCTGCCACGAGCTCATCATCAACGCCGCTTTTTCCAGCTGGTGGGCAAGGGTCCACATCCAGCCTCACCTTTCTCGCAGTGAGCCCCGGAGAAGCCCCTCTGGCAGGCACACTCGTAGCTCTCGAGCCGGGGGCTGCAGGTGCCTCCGTTCTGGCAAGGGTTGGGTTTCTGGGTGCAGGGGTGGCCTCGGAACGGGGAGATCTCGATGGCGCTGCGGATGTTCTGCTCCCTCAGCACTGGCACCCCTTTGATGGAGATCTGCCGGATGCGAGCAAGAGGAAGCACAGGGTCAGCCTTCACCACCTCCAGGTCTGGCAGAGGGACAGAGGCCAGCACCCTGGGGAGACGGGGGAGTGGGAATCCAGCCCCAAGCCCCATGTGTCCCTGTGAGCACCCCCACCTCCCTTTCTGCCACCCACTTTTCAACCAGCCATTGTCCCCATGCACATGGACCCACGTGCGGGCGTAGCCCCCTCCCAGGCTCATCCTTGCTCTCGTCCAGCGATGCTGGTGCCGATGGCACGTCGCCCCCCCAGACACCAGCCCACGGCTGCCCCATAGCACCTTACCCTCTGCACAGCCCCTTCGAAGCTGGTGGAGATGGCGGCTGCTCGAGCCAGTTTGCTGAAATCAGGGGCTCCCCCCACATAAAACGGTTCCTTCAAATTCAGGAAGGTGTGAGGCACCTGGGGAGGAGAGAGGAGAAGGTGAGATGGAGAAGATCAGGGTGCCCAGAGAAGCTGTGGATGCCCCATCCCTGGAGGGGTTCAAGGCCAGGCTGGATGAGGCTTTGGGCAACCTGGGCTAGTGGGAGGTGTCCCTGCCCATGGCAGGGGGTGGCACTGGATGGGCTTTAAGGTCCCTTCCAACCCAAACCCTTCTGTGATTCTGAGCTCCACACATCTGGCACCAAACCAGCCTGTGTAAAGGGTGCTGGGAGAACAGGCCCTCCAATGAACCTCCTCATGCCAAGCTGCAAGGTCTTACCTGCCAGAGGCACACCAGGAAAATTTAATTTAATTAAATTAATTTCTGGGGAGATGCTGCTCCAATGCCCTCAGGCTTTGTGTGACCCTCAAAACCAAGCAAACATAACTTCACTCTTGCCAGGGCTAACATTTAAACCCAAACTCACACCAGAGGGACTCAGCTTGGCTTCATCCAGCTGCTACAGGTCCCCTACAGCAAGAGCAGCTTCTCCTGCATCTCCCAGGGCTGTGAGGTTGGAAGGGGATGTCCCCCTCCTTGCTGTCACCCTGCAGCCCCCACCGCAGAGCACGGCCAGTCCCAGGTGGGTCACGGGGCACCCGGGATGGACCCAGTGAGGCGAAGATGCGGTGATATGAATCACTATCTAATGCTTTGTGGAGTTAACACAAGGAACATGACCGGATTAATTTAAATGCTTCTGAAACAAAATGTAAAAACTGGCTGGAAATTAATGACGGAAGAGGAAATGAGTGGCTCTAATCTACTGAGATCCTAAAGCTGCTGGGCGGATGGGAAGGGGAGGGGATGAGACACTGAGATCTGGATGGAAAACAAAAAAAAGATCAAGGTGCCGATGGCAGATGAGATGGAGGTGCGGTGGGTCATACTTATCTTTACCTTACGGGATTTCTGGGATCCAGACAGCAGGGGAGGGAAAGATACAAATGGAAAATCAAAAGAAGAGAGAGAAAAAGAGAGAGAGAAAAGGGAGATCAGTGGGTAACATCGTAACATGCAGGGCTGCAAGACCACCGCTGCAACCAGTCCCCGGGACAGCCAGGGAAGGGGACGGGGAGGTGACAGGAGGGGATGCTGCCACCCTGCCAAGCAGGGTAGGAGAGGAGCTTGAAAAGACAAGTGAGAGGAGGAAATCCCATCTTTTGCAGGA